CCAATCAATATTTTGAAAAAATCTCTCTGTCACGATAAAGTTTGAGTCTCAATCTATGCAATAACAGAGTTATTTTTAAAAAAGGATCAACAGAAACGGACTTCTATTCTTTCAAAAATCACGTGCAAAAATGGTGGTTATAGGCTTCGTGCACCATATTATCCCAATATATTTTTGAAAGTTTAAATTAATTTTTTCAGTTGGTACACAGTGATATCAAAAAAATATGTATCAAATATTGGCAAGAAAAACATAAAGAACCACAATTCTAATATTGGTTAACAGATGAGGTAACTTCAGTAATATATCTATATAAAAATGGAAGTTGCCTTCATTTTGGATAGGTAGTAATCGGGTATATAAAGTGGAAGATTACTTCACCTTACATGGTAAGTGATCAGGTAAAGATAGTTGATGGCATCAAAAATGTATTGAGTTTTAACAAGAAAATTGTTAAAAAGTAGCATCCAGTATAAGGGCAACAGGTGAAGGCAACTTCAGAAATATTATATAATAAAAATGGAAGAAGCCTTCACTTTTCGATGACATGTTTTTGGGTAGGTCAAGGTGAAGTAATCTTCAGTAATATTATATAATAAATATGGAAGATCACTTCACTTTCCATGATATGTTTTTGGTGTATTTTCAGTATATGCTCAATGGTATATACTTGAGATATGGTTAAGTGTAGTAATCTTCAGTTATATTATAATTATGGCAGAAGACTATAGCAAAATACATATAGATTTGATAGTAGTTAGCAGGTGTAGTCTTTTGCAGAAATATATATAATAATTATGGCAGAAGACTACCCTCCCAATGATATGTTTTCAGGTATATATTTGATGACATGCTTTCGGGGTAGGTAAGTGCAGTAATATATTATAAGAATTATGGCAGAAACCTACCCATTTTGATGGTATGTTTTGTGGTATGTGATTGGGGTAGGTAACTTCGGTAATATTATATAATAAATATGGGAGAAGCATACCTGATAGCAACTAGATAGCATTAATTGATAGCAATTACACAACGCGTATTTGATAGCATATACCAGATAACATACTCGATAGCATATACCCGATAGCATAATTGATAGGATACCCGATAGTATTTGTGCAATATATTTCGTATACATATTTGATAGCGTTAATCAATAGCATAACCAGATATTGTGTATATAGCATAACCAGATAGCATATATATAACAAACTAGATGGTATATACTCTGGCTATATGCCTCTACAAATGATGACATAATCACATCCTAATTATCAAACTTGCAACGAGGCCAACCCGGTTGCATAACCTACCTCAGCTATTTTATTACAATGGAAATTGGTGGTAATCACCAAACCAGTAATACAAATAATGTTATTGAATTTGGGTTATAATAAAAAATGCAGAAGGGTGCTGACAACGGTGTTGCATTTCTGTCATCACAACACATACCTGAGTGAGAATAACCTAGAATTCCACCTGGGCTATCATAACCTAACTCAGTGAGTATTTTGTATTTTAAATCATCCAGGATCACCAACTTGATATACAAAAATTTATACAAGTGATTAAAACATATTGATATTGAATTTGACTCTCTAAAGGTATACAAGCCATTACCCATCAAAGCGACCAAGTGTGATGACGTGAACATAAAATTGACATCATATTTTTTATAGATCATGGGGGGTGTCCAAGTGTGACGACATGAACACAAATTCGTCATCATATTTTTTATAGGTCATGGGTACCTAAGTGTGACAACGAACTCGTGAACCAATCATCACTCAAGTGATGACACACATGTGATCTCATCGTCACACCTGAGTGGAAATAACATAATTATGTTATTTCCACTCTTGACCCACAGTCGTACACCAAATATCTCAAGAATTATCAAATCCAATCAATTGGCATCCTAAACCAGCACCAAAAGTCCTTCAAACTTATTTTGATAACAATTGTATAAAAATGGATGTTGATGAGTATGAGAAATTTCAAGTGGAAATTCAGTATATGTAAGTGTTAAATAATTGTGATCTTGTTATAGTGCAAGACACCTAGTCCCACAACTAATTTAACATAATTTTTTGTAGAATAATTTATCAGAAACTGAAAGTGCAGCACAAAAATTGCATGTTTTGAACATAAAGGGAAAATGAAGAAATCTTGTACCTGAGAATATTCCTATTCTAAATGTGAATAGATCTCCTAAATAATAACATTTTATTGGATATTTGAGAATTAATTATTTTAGTTTGCAAAGGGAATTTTATAAATTGCTGAATAATTGTTTTTCAAAAATTTAAATTTCTTATTAAAAAAAAAATAATGTCTGCTAAATTTTAAATATGTTTAATATCCCAGATCTGCATATTAAATTTCTATCATTGGTCAGCGGGTCATCACATTATTGAGACTAAATCTTGAACCCTGAAATTCTTGGTTCACTTTGTCTTGTTTAAAAACTTTAAAAAACATGTTTATTTAATGCATCAGTCCTGTGATTTTTTTGCCATATGATGTACAGTGTAACCGAACTCTACCCTTAAAGTCAAAAATAAAAACCAATATTGTCCAAAGAAATATTTATATTTATATTTAAAAAAATAAAATGATGAATGAAAAGAAAAATTATAATATAATTTTACAAATTAAATCCTCAAAGTAATATAACAGTAATAATAATTTAAAACTTTGTTTTCATTTCATTTTTTTTTCAACAAATCAACTAATTAATATGCCTTCTTCTTCTCATCAATTGAAATCCCACCAGGACCCATGCTTACTAATAATAACAATCCACCAACAATACTAAGAGTTTGAAAGAAATCATATTTCAAGAAATCACGTTGTGAATCAGCATGATGAGCTGACCAAAAATTATTGATAAATACATTAAAAACAGAAAGAAATAGTACTAAAAAAGTGGCAGACCATTTAGCCTTGAAACCAACTACCACCATGATGCAAGCAATAAATCCAATTATAGAAACCATTAATCTTGTAATTGACCATTCACCATGAAATATAAAGCCAATAAATAAAAATATCAATAAAACACGCCCAGCTAATTGAAAATAAGTTTTATGATCACGCTCTGATAATTGTGGGAGATCAGCAAATACAGATTTTCTTTTTGAGAAAGCATCAGATAATACCATTAATAGACCACCAGTTACTGAGAGACTTCTTAAAAAGAAATTTAATTCAAAAAATAAACCATATCCAATTGATTGTGATAATATTACTAGGAATAAACTAAGAACTGCATATTCTGGATATTTTCTTTTGATTATCAAGAATGAGCCTATAAACATTGCCTTCAAAAAAAGTTTATCATTATTGTCATATTGTTTATCCTTGGGAAAAATAAAAAATATTTAATATCATAAAAAAATTAAAACTTACAACAACATTACCAAACAAAAAAAGATGTGTTAAGCCCCATGGAATATGTCTCAGTCTTTCAAGATAGTATAATTGGTCATTCCATTGAAATAAAATTCTTAATGCATCTTCTAAAAATGTAGCAACAATAAGAAAACGAGCTATTGCAGGAATATGGGGTTTAAAAGGTTGAGAAATTGCTTCAAGAATGTCTTCTGCTTTTGAAGAATATTCTTTAATTTGATCCATTATTTATTTAAAAAAATAAAACTAATATTGAGTCAATGAATGATTGATAATATAATTAACATTAATGTTATTGTTAAATAATAAAAATATTAATACTTTTGTTTTTATTTTGGTTCTTTTTAAAAATTATCAACCCTGTAAAATTTCTACATAATTGTCTAAGTACCGTATTTTTAGGGGAGAGGTCTAATGTCACTAAAATTTTATTAATAATTAAACAATAATAATTGCAAACAAAATAAATGGATCAATTTAACAATGGACCTAGACCCGAGATCAGAATTACAGAACTTACTGAAGAAAGGATCAAATTTATTCTCATAAATACAGATTTGAGGTAAAGTATTTTTTAATATAAAAATTTATTTAAAAGGTAAATTTTAATAACTTTAGATTAATACAGTGTTGCCAATGCATTAAGACGGATTATGATATCGGAAGTGGCAACTATAGGTTAGTTTAAACTACTAAAAAAGCTCATTTATAAAGTAATGGTTGAGTACAATAATAATTTACAATAAAAAAATTGAATGGTTTAGCTGTTGAATCAGTAGATTTTGAACTCAATACTTCAGTATTGGCAGATGAATTTATTGCACATAGATTAGGTTTAATACCAATAGATAGCACAGAATCAGAAAAACTTAAATATGGACGAGTAAGATCATTAATCATTTGTTATTATTTATTTATTTTATTGTTGCTTTTTTTCTTAACAACAAAATTCCCATTTTTAGGATTGTTCATGTACAGGGGTTTGTAAAGAATGTAGTGTTGAATTGAGTTTACATGTAACTTGTAATGAAGAAGATACAACAAAAGATGTGACTAGTAGAGATTTGGTTAGCAATGATCCTCGATTCGCACCAATATTTGAAGGTAAAAAGTATTACTATTATTATTGTTATCACCATCATTGTTGTTGTTATCATCAATAAAAAAAGAAATAATTATATATATATTGATTTAGGCCCTAAGGATCCAGGTATTTTAATTGCAAAACTTCGTAAAGGTCAAGCACTTAAAGTGAAGTGTATTGCTAAAAAGGTTAAAATTAAATTTTTGTTTTAAAATATTTTAACTTGATATTAACAAGAATAATCTGATATAAGATTTCTCTGTTTAATTTTAGGGCGTGGGGAAAGAACATGCAAAATGGAGCCCCTGTGCAGCTGTAGGATTTGAATATGATCCACATAATAGACTTAGACATACCACATATTGGTATGAAGAAAATGTGCAGCAAGAATGGTAAGGTTTATCATTGATATTTAATATGTTATATGGTTTTTCATATATCCTATTATTATATATATAGGCCACCCACTAAAAATGCCTCTGAAGATCCTCCATTATTAGATGACGAAAGTATATAAAAAATTTTTTTAATATTTTATTATTATTATTAATATATTAACAATAATACCTTTTTTTTAATAGAGTACGATTTTACAGTTAAACCAAATAGATTTTATTTTAATGTAGAGGTAGACTTACAGTATATTTTGGAAATATAAATAATAAATATATATAAAAATATTAATATGGTTTTTTGATTATTAGTCAGTTGGATCAATGAAGCCAGAAGATATTGTTATGAATGCATTTAAGAAATTATTAGAAAAATTGGCATCTATTCAAATGGGAATGGTTAATAGTGATATCCCAGTAGGAATCATTCATCCAAGAGAAGCTTTTTAAATATAAATTTTAGAGGTATGTTTAATTAAAAGAAGAATTATTCAATTAATATATAAAAAACATCAATTTTATGTACACATTTATATAAATAAACATAAAAATATTTATTCACATTATGCATAACCAAAATAAAAAATAAATTTTTTGTGAAATTTTGATTTGAAATGTGCCTTCGAAATACAGAAACAAAAATAAAAAAATTATTGTTACTATTTATTATTAATAAATATTAATCAAAATTACATTGTGGATTACAACACTAACAACACCTAAATTAGCCAATGCTCCTCTTATCAATCCACATAGGAACCAATGGTGTTAAAAAAAAAATATATGTGAATTTGTAAAATTTTGAAATTTGAAAATAATTATTGACAAAAGATTATTAGAGGAATTTCTCTTTTTGCTGCATCAGCATCTCCAGCTAGCTTCTGTTGACATTCTAAAAAAACCATCTAAAATTATTATCTTGAAGTACATATGGGGTCTGATCAATAGAAACGAGGCATGTCACCAAAAAGTTGATTTTGAGTTAACAATATTTTTATATGTAAT